CGAAGGACAACAGCTCCGAGCTCAGCTTTATTTGGCATTTTTTTGCTCTGCTCGGCAACTTCCCTGCCTGGTTCCTGCAGTCTCTTCCCCCTGAAAGGGACCCCAACTCCCCCTGGGCTTCCCCTCAGCTGAGAGAGAGTTCAGCCAGGAGCCCCTCCTGCTTCCTCCTCCTCTGCCTGTCCCAGGAGCCCCCCCTCCCCTGTTTCCCTGCTGGAGGTGTGGGGAGAAGGGGCCTAAGACCTCCCGGGGCCCCTGAAGGCAGGCAGGGAGGAGGCTGGGCTTACCTCTGGAGCTGGTGAGTGAGCAGCGTAGGCTGGTTTTCACTCGCCGCCTGCAAGGGTGTGGAAGGCTGTGGCGGACGGATGCAGTCCTGTGAGGGGGGCAGGAGAGGAAGGACGGGGGAAAATGTGGTGAGCAGCAGCCTCCCCCCCACCACTGAACGGAGGGCTGTTGGGCCACGGGCGGAAGAACAGCCAGCCCTGCATCACAGCTGCCCTGGGGCTCAGCAGGCGGCCCGGATACCTGCAGGGCAGCAGACTCTGAGGAGCCCAAAGGGAGCCCGAAAGGATGGGAGGTTCTGGCCCCTCCCAAGCCCCCCCCCCACCTGGATGTGTTGATGAAGGATCTGGTGGTGCTGCTCCTGCTGGTACAGGAAGTGCTGCTGCTGCGTCTTCTCCAGGGTCCTCTCGTCCATGTGGCCCCCGTACATCTTCTGCAGCTGCTCACACTCCTGGAAAGGGCGCGGCTGAGGCTCAGCCCTGCCTGGCTGCGCAGAGCCAGAGAGGAGGGGGCAGCAGGCCTGGCCTCAACGGGGCATCCCTGCCACTCCACTCCCACCCTTCCCTGAAAGCCCCCTCGGAGCCCCCACCAGAGCAGGGAGCGCACTGAAGGTTCCGGCAGCTTCCTTGGCAGCCAGAGGTCCCAGCCGTACCCCTGCGCACCACCGAGCCCAGCGCTGGCAACTCTTCAGGGAAGGAGGAGGGAGCGCCCAACGCCCGGCCTCTGGGCCCTACGGAGGATTCTGGGCCCAACGGCCAGAGGAGCATCCAAGGGAAGCTGCCGCCCTCCAGCCTCCCTGCAGCCCATCCAGCCTGCCGTTGCTCTGGCCAAGAGGTCCGGCTGGCTCTCCCGCGCTCGGCCCTCTACCTGCTGGAGCTGCTTGATGCTGCTGTGGTTGCCCATCTTCTCCAGCTGCGCCTTGAAGGCCTGGATGCTGGCCGCCCCGTCCGAGAAACGGCGCACGGGGGAAAAGCGCTCCGTGGGGAGGTGCAGCGTGTTTGAGTCCTTGTAGATGTAGCTGGGGACACACAGAGGGAGGGGAGGGGGAGGTTAGGAGGAGCAGCTGGACCCCAGGGCCATTTCCCCAAATCCAGCCTGCCCCCTCCCCC